GGCGGCCGGGTGGACAACGAGTTTGACCAGCGTCTGCTCAACACTTTCCTGGAGCGCCTGTTCACGACGAAGAGCTTCGATAGTGAATTTAAGCTGGCCTGCAAGGTGGACGGGCACAAGGACATTCAAATGCCTGACGGCATCAGGTACACGCTGCCTCCCGGGGCCTAGACCCCAGCCGCAGCCCGCGGTCCCCGGCGCCCCCCGGAATGGCGTCTCTAAATGTGCTGCCTTTCCAGGCGAGAGGAGTTTGTGCAGTGGGTGGAGCTGCTCCCCGACACGCAGACGCCCTCCTGGCTGGGCCTGCCCAACAACGCAGAGAGGGTCCTGCTCACCACCCAGGGTGGGTACCCCACGCGGCCGCCCCCCCGATCCTGGCTCTACCTGACCCCGTCCCCGGACAGGCTCAGACATGGGAGTGGGTCCCCGTTGGTGCCTCTTCTGCGCCCCAGGCTCGGTTCTGGCCAAAAGTCTGCTGTTTAGGTCAGTGAGGCCCAAAAGTTACATCTAGGATTCCAGCTTCCCTTCAGACATCGTTTTATCTGTTTTGCCTAAAAGAGTTAAAAGGTACCTGGCATTATGTGAGATTTTAAAACCATCAGTTTTCGTTAGGATACTCCTTAGAACTTGTTTCCTTTTCAATTTTTTTTCCGAGCACATTCAAGAAAGAGGTAACGTGGCAGTTTTAAAAGCCTGGTTCTCAGGCCAGCAGCATTAGCCTCCTTGGAACTTCTTAGAGATTCAGGTTCTCAGGACCTGCCTCAGACCTTCGGGGTTGAAGTGGGGGTGCAGCTGCTGCTCTAACCCAGACTTCTCTTTATGGGAACCGGGCCCCGAAAGAGCGCGCAGGTTGCCCAGACTCACACAGCGAGCTGGCGGGACAGGATCAGTTCCCCTGGGCAGTGGCCCCAGCTCTGCGCGCCAACCCCTGCTTCCCGGGCTTGCTCTCTTGGGAGGGTTTCCACTGCAGTCCCCACCTCGCTCTGGCTGGGCCGTTTCCTGAGCTCCAGAAACACGTACCTACTTGTGCCTCGTGGGTAGACGGGTTAGGTGGCCTTCGCATTCAAATCCTTTTCCCTCTGGTCTCCCTCCCTCCGCCCCCCAGGCGTGGACATGATCAGCAAGATGCTGAAGATGCAGATGCTGGAGGATGAGGACGACCTGGCCTACGCGGAGGCGGAGAAGAAGGCCAGGGCCGACTCCACGGCGGACGGCCGCCCCGCCTGGATGAGGACGCTGCACACCACCGCTTCCAACTGGCTGCAGCTCATCCCCCAGACGCTGAGCCACCTCAAGCGGACGGTGGAGAACATCAAGGTGCCGGCAGCGGGTGGGGCTGCCCCCTGGCGGCCGAGGCCCAGCCTACCGCCAGCGGGCCTCTGTGCCCAGGTTCCGGCAGGAGGGAGTGACCCCGTTAAACTGGCCAGAAACACTCTAGAAGGTTGTCTGTCTGCATACACTAGGTCAGCGATCCCAGGGCCCGGCCCACAGCAGGGAGCCACCCGGCTCCATCCAAGGCCCAGGGCGAAGCCGCGAGCTCCCCCGGGAGGGCCTGGTATGGACGAGCCTCCCTCCCGCTGGAGAAGGGGCCTCTCCCTGACGCTTCCGTTCACCCCGGCCTTCTCGTGTCTTTGAACCGTTTTAGGACCCTTTGTTCAGGTTCTTTGAGAGAGAAGTGAAAATGGGGGCTAAGTTACTTCAGGACGTTCGCCAGGACCTCGCGGATGTCGTCCAAGTGTGTGAGGGGAAGAAGAAGCAGACCAACTACCTGCGCACGCTCATAAACGAGCTGGTGAAAGGTACGGGCCTCCCGTGTGCCCAGGAGCTCAGGCCCAGGGCAGCCCGGCCCCCCTCGCCCCCCTCACTGCGCGCAGAGCAGGGCACACCGCTGCCCCCGGCATCGGCAAGTCCGCCAGGCCACGCACGCATTGCCTTCTGTGCAGACCTCCCTGTCGGAGCAGCTGGGGGCCCTTTCTGGGGGGACATGCTTCGAAGGGCCCAAGAATTTGCTGGTTCACTGAACATTTACTAAAATCTTTACAGTTTTTAGGAGGGTGGCCGCCACAAAGTGGGGGGACTCGAGTCTAAAGGTACAGGGAGCCCCCAGGCATCTCAAGAGCCTGACTTACCGGTGACGCCGAGCCACTTATGTGATGGGGGTTAGCAGCTGAGTGTCCCTTGAGGATTACTAGGGTCCTCCGTGCACACCCCTTCAGCTACACTGGACTGGGCAGGGCAGAGGTGGTGCGTGCCCAGCCAGGACAGGAGGGGTGGGAGGGGGTGGGCGGAACACTCTCACTCAGGTACAGCTTGGGAAACAGGCGAGCTCTAGCAGGTTCGAGCGTCTGTGCAAGGGACTGTCAGAGCCGAGCCTGGGGTCACCTTGCTCACAGGGATCTTGCCTCGGAGCTGGTCCCACTACACGGTGCCCGCGGGCATGACCGTCATCCAGTGGGTGTCTGACTTCAGCGAGAGGATCAAACAACTACAGAACATCTCTCTGGCGGCTGCGTCTGGCGGCGCAAAGGAGCTGAAGGTGAGGAGGCCGCTCCTGAGTGCCGGGGGGGTTGGCGGCCCAGGCAGCTCGGGGACAAGCACAGAGCCGTGTGGCCGGAGGGAAGGGTGGTGCCCGCTGCTCACGGGGAGCTGCTTCTTCCCCCAGAACATCCACGTGTGCCTGGGCGGCCTGTTCGTGCCCGAGGCCTACATCACCGCCACCAGGCAGTACGTGGCCCAGGCCAACAGCTGGTCCTTGGAGGAGCTCTGCCTGGAAGTCCACGTCACCACGTCCCAAAGTGCCACCCTCGACGCCTGCAGCTTCGGGGTCACGGGTGAGTCGGGGTCCGGGCTGGGTGCCGCCTCTCCCCAGCAGGTGGTCCTGCCGGCGTGGCTTCCGGTCTGTGTGTCTGAGGTGGCGGGAGGCAGCCTTTCCCGAGGACGACAAGGCCGGCCTTGTCCCCGCAGGTTTGAAGCTCCAGGGGGCCACCTGCAGCAACAACAAGCTGTCCCTGTCCCACGCCATCTCCACGGTCCTCCCTCTGACGCAGCTGCGCTGGGTCAAGCAGACCAACGCAGAGAGGAAGGCTAACGTGGTAAGCGGCCCCTTCCCGTCACCTGGGGTTGGCGGGGGCCGTGCACACAGCCGCGAGTCACCAGGTGCAGCCATCCCCCCTCCCGGTCCCCAGGGGCCTGCTGGTCGCTAGGACCCCAGTGCTGCACAGAGGAAAGCCGCCGTCCGCCGTCTCCACCCTGTCCCTGCCTCTCCCTGAGCCGGCAGTAAGGCCCAGCCCTCTCCCCTAGGTGACCCTGCCCGTCTACCTGAACTTCACCCGCGCGGACCTCATCTTCACGGTCGACTTTGAGATCGCCACCAAGGAGGACCCGCGCAGCTTCTACGAGCGCGGCGTCGCCGTCCTCTGTACGGAGTGAAGCCCGACTCCTGGTCCCTTTTCTGTAGTAACTACTATTTAACGTCTCTTCATCATTAAACTGTTCGAAGGAGCGGACTGGTCAGAGGAAAGTCGTGGGTCGGAGGAAGCGCAGTGGAGGCGGAAGGACTCGGCCGTGTGCTTTGGAGGGTCCGTGGCCTGGCTTTGCTGGCGAATAAAACACTAAGCACGATCCACTCTTGCCTCTTCTGTCCTCCCCGCGCGGACACTGGGGGCCCTAGGCAGCCCCCGAAACAGCTCCTGGGCCGAGCGGCTCCGGCCAGCCCGACTCCGCGCCCTGCAGGCCTCGACCCGCTCACAGCCCCTCGGTGGCTTCCGGGTCACGTGAGCGCGCTGACACCCTCGGCCAGCCCCCACCCCCGGCACGTCCACGCCCCCACACCCCAGAGAAGCAGCGGGTTCCCACGCGCCGCTCACTGTCCATACGGACACGGTGTGTGGGGTCTCCCTTGTGAACCGGTTTCATCTGGGCGCCTTGTGGCAACTCCTAGGGGTGACCGGCGACCAGCTGAGCCTGAGCAGGACCCCAGTGAGGAAAGCCTGTTCCTCCTGCTGCCGGGCCCCCAGGAGCAGGCTCGTCCCCCAGCCGGCCGGGGGGGGGGGGGGGGGGGGGGGGGCGGGACAGGGTCCCTCATTTTACGGATGAGGGAACTAACTAGTGGGAGAGAGCGAGTGAAATGCCCGGGATTACACAGCTAATCAGAGGGAGGGGAGCCGGGTCTGATGGGCGCCTCGGCCCCTGCCCTCAGCCCGACCTCCTCAGGGCCCCTGCCAAGCTCCAAACACCCCCACCCAGGGCCTGGCCTCCGGTCAGAGTCTCCTCCCCACCCAGTTCTGGGAGGTTCTATCAGGGATCCTTGGGAAGCCTCTAAAGTTCTATTTGATTGAAAATTGAGGTCTGTTTTAAATGTTTTTCTCTGAACCAGTAAATAAGGATTCTTAGTTTTTCTGCAGCGGTAAGTTCCTGACCAGGGCTCCAGGCTGGGACCAGGCCCGAGGAAGGACGAGGGGAGCCCACGGAAGGGCCGCCACGGGGGTCTGTCCTGCCTGCCTCCCCTGGCCACCCAGTGCAGGTGGGGGGGGGGCGCGAGCACAAGAGAAGCAGCGACCCCCCTCCCCCCACCCAGGCACAGAGCAAGTTCCTGACCGGGAGGACCGGACGCCAGCCCGGAGCCCCAGAGCAGGAGCCGCCGCGCCTACCGGAGCCCTGGCCTGGGGCGAGGGCAGCTTCCCAGCAAGGGCCCAGGGCTCCTCCCGCTGCCTCCTAAAGGCCAGCGTGCCCATCCTGGGCTCCAGGGCCTCTGAGCCTCACCCCACACTAGGCTCAGTCCGTGGGGCCTCAAGGGGGGGCCCCCACCTCTAGGACCCCCCCCCCTCATTCACCATCCACTTGGAGGGTCAGGCTGAAGAGTGGCTACAGTCCAGCGCCCTCAGCGGGCAGAGCTGGCGGACAAGCCAGAGGGCCCCGGAGCCCGGACCAAGCACCTGGGCCCAGGCGGCCTCCCCACCCCCACCCCACCCCGGTGCCCTGCCCACCACGGGGCCCAGCGCTCTTCTCCAGCTTCGCTTTATTGGCCCTTGGGAACCTGGGGTCCTGGGGTCCTGGGGGGTGTGGGCAGCGGCCACCCGGCGCCGGCACCAGACGTGCTCAGTTCATGCCCTGCTGGGGAATGAAAGGCACAGTGAGCAAACCCCCAGGAACTGGGGAAAGGGTAAAAGAACCACCCCGTTATTTTTAAATAGCACATCAAGAATGGGGCCCCTGGGGGGGCTCAGTCGGTTGAGTGTCCGAATTCCGCTCAGGTCATGATCTCACTGCTCATGGGTTCGAGCCCCACATCGGGCTCTGTGCTGACAGCTCAGAGCCTGGAGCTGCTTCAGATTCTGTGTCTCCCTCTCTACCCCTTGTCTCTCAAAAATGAACATTTATAAATAAATAAAAAACACATCAAGACCATGATGGTGTCAGCAGCCAAAACCAAGTGCTCAGAAAATCCTCACTTTGTAAACACTGTGTCAGGAATGGAAGTCGAGACACAGTGGAGGCAGCTGCACGGTGCTGGGGGCGCGGGAGGAGGGGGGCGTCCACACCAGAACCAACAAGCGTGTTGTCCGGAATACTCTGGCCTTGATTGTGTCAGTGACCCCGAGAGCCCCTCCGCTGTCCGCCCCGTCCCTCACCCCTGCTCCCCCTCCCCTCCCCCAGAGCACACACTCCGGGAGGGTGGAGAACAATGGGTACCATGAATTAAGGTTTTAAAAAAAATTACTAGTTCTACGAATGTATAAACAGTAAGGAAATGCTCAGATTTGGGGGAAGTGGGTTCTGCGAGGGCCACACAGGACTTTTCCTCCCCCGGACACCCATCTGTCAGCAAACAGGTGGGCGCCCGGCTCTCCTTACTGAAGACACACAAAGGACACGCGTCCGTTGACGTTGGCTCGGACCAACCCCGCTCACCTGGGTCTGGGCCGCACACCGCCTCTTCCTCTTACTCTTCTCAGGCTCTGCAAGTAAGAGTTCCAGTTTCCTCTTGGAGACGGTGAGCTTGGGCCCCCTGTCCTTCTCACTCCGGAGTCTGGGTGGCGGCCGGGACCCTGGGGTCCTGCCTGGCGTGGGTCTGCCGGGCTCAGCGGGCTCCGTGGCCGGGACGGGGGGGCCGGCCGCCGTGGGCCACTCCTCCGCCATCCTCCAGTCCTCTGGGGCTCCGGAGAGCCTGGGCCGCCCACCCCCGGGCTCCGCAGGGGGCATGTCCACGTCCTCGGCCTCCGGGGACGCAGGGACCCCGCTGGCAGCTTCCCTGAGGAGGTCTGGGGCTCCTGAGGAGAGAGGGTCTTCTACGTGGACTTCCGGACTCTCGGGGTTCAATGCGTGTGAAGGGACAGCACAGGTCACGTCGCCCGGACAGCAGGTGCCGAAGCTGTAGGCGGAACGGCCGGGGGGGTCTTCCCAAGACTCGCCGTCGCAAGGATCTAAAACCTGGGGACATCGTTTGTTTCTGAGCCAATTGGCAACTTCTACCAGGGCAAAGGACAACACGCCTAAATTATTCCTTCCATCAGTGATGGCGGCAAATCTCGCCTCTCAGCCTCACAATCGTTAAAAATGCATTAGACGGCGCCTGGGTGACTCAGTCAAGGGTCGACTCTTGATTTCGACTCAGGCCATGATCTCACAGTTCGTGAGTTCGAGCCCAGCATCAGGCTCTGCGCTGAGGGATTCTGCCTCTCCCTCCCTCTGCCCCTTCCCCACCAGCACTCTCTCACCTCACTCTCTCTAAATAAACTTAAAAAAAAAAAAAAAAAAAAAAAGGAATAATAGGGGCACCTGGGTGGTCCAGTCAGTTAAGCATCCAACTTTGGCTCAGGTCGTGATCTCTCAGTTGACAGGTTCGAGCCCCGCCTTGGACTCTGCTGACAGCACAGACCCTGCTTGGGATCCTCTGACCCCTCTCTGTCTGCCCCTCCCCAGCTTGCACTCTCAAAAATAAACACTTAAAAAATTAAAAATAAATAAATATGCATTAGACAAACACCCCAGAGCATCCAAAAAGCCTGAGGGCCCACCATCACTGGGCGCCCAATCTGAGCACCGCCGTCACTTGAAGCCCTTTTCCCAGTGCTGTGCACAGGCCGGTCCACACCCCCCAGCCCACCACCCGGGGGAGGGGAGGGTGTCTGAGCTCACGCCCTCCCAGAGTCCCCTAGCACCCAGCTCTGCTGTGTGCACCTGACCTTGTACCCCAGCTCCTTGACCTGAATTTCCTACTTCTGACCTGACCTTATACCCAAATTTCCTATTTCTTACTCTAGCTTTTTGCCTTCCTGCCTGACTGATTAGCTCTGGGAGCGAAGGTCTCCAGGAAAGTCTAAGGCCCCGTGACTGACCACCGTCACCTCCCATGCTAACAGTGGGGAGCTGCACCCCCAGAACTCCCAGAGCTACACAGACGCCTCCTCCCAGACACGCCAGGGGCCCTGTGAGGACCCGTAACCTGCCTGGTCTCCCTCCTCACCGACCACGGGGCTTCAGCCACACCCTGAGAAAGAGCCCCGGGGCTGAGCCAGTGCAGGGACCCCCACGGGGTCATCTCACGCGGGCGGTGAAAACGTCCCGAGGCGGCCATTTCTTCTATGGACGGTCAATGCGGTTACATATTCCCCAAAAAAGGGAATAAAAAGAGCTAACGCCGTCATCTGTAGGCAACGGTAATCATTTCAGATTCAGAAATCAGAGTTGTCAGAATTCACAAAGCCAGCATCCTGCAACCTGTGATGGCCTCAAGGTCCAGGCCCAAGGGGGTGCGAGCGGGCAGGGGGCTAACGGTCCCAGCCTGCCAACCAGCCAACAGCATCCATGCTTACACCAAGGGACGCCAGGATAGGACGTTTGTCCCCTGGCTAGAACGGTTCAGAAGGACAGGTCAGCAGACACAACCCCTCTCTCCAGCATGACCTGTGTCTCAAAACACCATCAGATCCCCGAACTGATTACGGAGACTGGCTTTAATTTTGACTGAAATCAACGTGGAGGGGCGCCTGGCTGGCCCAGCCGGCAGAACGTGCCACCCCTGGTCTCCAGGTTGCGAGTTTGAGCCCCATGTTGGGGGTAGAGATTAATTTTGAGATTGCAGTTACTCACACTCACGGTCTTGTCATCCCTCCAGGACAAGCTACTTTGAGTCTTTTTCTTACAATTTTTTGGGGAGAAAAAAAAGGAAACATCCTTTTTGTTTCATTCTAGCACGCACCTCTCTCCAGAGACCTTCAATTAAGTCCATGTGATTCTTTTTGTGATTGATCTGGGGAAACGTGTAAAAGAAAAAAAAAAAAGAAAAGCGCTGAATAATCTTTCTACAAAAGCAGGTGGCCAGCAGCTCAGCGTTCAAGAGCAAGGCACCGAGGGCAGCCTGCAGCCCTGCTACGCCGGACCCTCGGTGGGCGGCAGCCCTCGGGGTGGACAAGAAGGACCCCCTGGCCTGAGGGACTGAAATGCAAATCTGGGCCACCGGGAATAGGGAAACTAGACCCAGGAATGTGGCAGGAGAGCGGATTCAGCAGCTGGATTTAATCAGGGAGAGAGAACCCCGGAACTTATTCTAAACCCAAAGCCAGGAGATCATGGAAGATTCTAGATCACCCGTCCTAACCCCTTCCTTTACGGATGAAGCCCAGACAACAGCCAGGCCTTGCTTGCTCAGGGTCCCTCGAAGAACCCAGGGCTGGCACCAGATATTCTAGAACCTTCCTCACTAATCCCAGGCTGCCGGGGAAATCAGCTCTTTCTCATCAAAAGACAGACTCCCAAAGGACAGGAGTCTGAACACATCTGCTTTTGGGAAGAGAAGCCCCGTAAAGATTTTACTAAGAACCGCAGAGAATACCCCTTCCATGGAGGGTGAGGGCTCCGAACAAGGGTTTCTGGTCTCGGGCACACGGGGTCTCCCGCCCTCCCTGCCCTGCCCCCATCTCCACTAGCAGGGGAGGGGCAGCGAGCAGGAGAGCACCTTGAAGCGATGGGGCATGTTTCTCTGCCTCTTCCGGAAGGCGGCCCTGGTGCTGGCAAATGCTGCCCTGATGCAGTTGGGCTGGCGGGACCTCAGAGCAGCCATGGCCGGGGAGGGGGCCTCCTGGGACGGACTTTTCACTTCACTAAAAAACATCAAGTTCACAGGGACAAAGCACAGGTCACTCGCTGGTTGCTGGGGGTGGGTGAGGGGTGGACCACAAAAGGGCAGGAGGGAACCCTCTGGAGCTGTGGGACTGTGTGCCGTGGCTGTGACGGCCACCGCTGGGCAGGATGCATGTCAGAGGCAGAGCTGCGTCCCAACACGACTGGATTCCACGGCGGGATCCCCCCTTCCCAGGACAAATCCAGGGAGTCTTCAAAAAGTGTCTTAGTGAACCAACGGAGCTGGTGGCGTGGGAGCGTGGCCCGTGGGCTTCGCCTTGTGTGGTTTGGAAAGCCCCTTCGCACCGAGAAGCTCCCTCGTAGCGAGCTCGTTGGAAATGTCACGCATTCACTGACACTGAAAGTTCTAGACTGCTGGGGGGCACCCACTCACTTCAAATGTCCTCCCCGTTTAACAGATGAAGAATGTGAGCCCAGGATGGGGACTGACTCCTCACCCGAGGTGACAGAAACTCAGCTTTTCCCAAGGGTGAGGTTGTTAAAAAAACAACTTTTTAAAAACACAACAGGCACCCAAAGAAGAGCGAGAACACCCACTCAAAATACAAAACAACTTACCAACGGCACGAGGGCTGCAAACCTACCCCCGTGGCGTCTCATGTCACTTGCTTTCCTCAAGAGTCCTTGCGCGACGGCACCGCCAGGCCCTGTAGGGAAGCACGTCCGTCACAACACACATGGCTGCCTCCCGCTTCCCAAAGTGGGCTCCGTGGAACACCAGTTTCCGGCAAAGGTCAGGGAAACGGGAAAGGAAATAAACAGACCCTAAAGCACAAGGCACGTTAGCATTTTCACGGCCAGAAAGGTTCCCAGCAAAAATCAATTTCCTTAAGTATTAACCGAAGTCCATTTGTACTTCCTTCAGATGTCACTAGTTTTCACCTCGTGTCCTATCCCAGGCTCCGGGTCCCACCCAGGACCCTACACTCCATTCAGTTGCCACGGCCGCTTAGCCGCTCTCGGCCGTGACAGCCTCTCTGGTCTCCTCGCTCTCGATGACTTGGCGGTTCTGAGGACCGTCTTGTAAGATGTCCGTCACTGGGGTTCGTCTGACGTTTTTCTTCTGAATCCACAAGGACTATGGGTTTGGGGAGGCTGCCCAGAGGGCCAGTGCCCTCATCACAAGGGTCACCACGGGGGCGCCTGGGGGCTCAGTCAGTTAAGCGTCCGACTTCGGCTCAGGTCATGATCTCACGGTTTGTGGCTCGAGCCCCGCGTCGGGCTCTGTGCTGACGGCTCAGAGCCTGTTTTGGATTCTGGGTCTCCCTCTTTTTCTGCCCCTCCCCTGCTCACACTCTGCTTCTTTCTCTCAAAAATAAGGATTAAAAGTATTTAAAAAGAGAATCATTAAAAAAAAAAACAAAACTATTAAACGTTATAAATACATGAGGACCTCCAGACCCTGACCATGGACCGCCCTGTGCGTCCCCAGGACATGCTGGCCGGATCCACACATGGGCTTTTTTTTAAATGTTTGTTTGTTGAGAGACAGAAATGCAATGGAGGGGCAGAGAAAGGCAGAGACTTTTTTTTTTAATTTGCTTTTTTTTAATGTTTTATTTATTTCTAGGAAAGAGAGAGAGAGAGAGAGACAGGGTGAGCAGGGGAGGGTCAGAGAGAGAGGGAGTCACAGACTGAAACAGGCTCCAGGCTCCGAGCTGGCAGTCAGCGCAGAGCCCGATGCCGGGCTCGAACCCACGAACCGCGAGATCATGACCTAAGCGAAAGTCGGACGCTTAACTGACTAAGCCACCCAGGCGCCCCAAGAAAGGCAGAGACTCTTGAGCAGGCTCCACACTCAGTGGGGAGCCCGGTGTGGGTGGGGCTCAATCTCAGGACCCTGGGGTCATGACCTGAGCTGAAATCAAGAGACGCTCAAATGACTGAGCCGCCCCAGGTGGCCCCACACTGGCTCCTTTCTACTCACTTGCCCATAAGCAGCTACACCTGCGGGGCAGGACGCTAGCTCGTGAACTATTTGCAGGTGGGATGTAAGGGCTCCAAGGCTCAGCCTTTTACCCCAAGGGCCGCCTGTCCCCTCACAGCTGCGGGGGTGGGTGGGAAGCTCATGATTTCAGGGGAGCAGGTGAGGCCCGGGGCAGCTGCGGAACGTTAGCCCATCCCCTTCGGGCGCATGTTTGAAAATCTCCTAATGGAGAGTTTAGAAGTCACCACCTCTGCCCCGAGAGCCACCAAATCTCTAGCTTCGAGGGAGTCCTGGGTGTTAAGCTCTAACCCTCAGTGCCACACCGCCTCCCCCCCAGCATCTGCCCGGGGGGCACACACCCGCTCCTGTGCACCCACACGCACCTGCACCCAGGCCCCCCCCCCAGCCTCTGGGGACCCCGGTCTCCATCTCCCGGCTCCGCACCTCCGGGCCCGGCTGCCAGGCCTCTGCTGGGATCTCTAACAGGTTCTTCCAACTTGACTGGTCCAAGGTCAGCAGCTGACCTTCTGCAAGCCGGTCCCCCGCCCCCGGCCCCCAGGCCCAGCTTCTTGCTGCTCAAGCTAGAAAAGTCTTCCCATCACCCCCCACCTTCCAAACTCCACACCCGCTGACCAGCCAGCACGGACTTTACCCTCCAGAGGAGCCCAGAACCCCATTGCTTCTCCCCGCCTTCCCCACCAGAGCAATGCCGGTTCCTCCCTTCTCTCCCCTCCCAGCTCCGCTCCCTCCACCCCTCCAGAGCTGGGGGTCCCACCTCAAGGCTTGAGCCCCTCACTTCTAACCTCTCTTTACACTAAGGCCACCCTCCCACGAGGCCCCAGCTCACATTTCAACCCCCGCCTCTCACGCACGCGCACGGCACCCACCCTGGTCCCTGTCACTCTGGCAGTCCCCGCGCCCTCCTGCTCCTTCTCTGGGGCCCGCGGCGCCTCTCAACGGGGCTCCATCACCTGGCCATCCTGCTTCTCTGTCCACAGCTGTGTCCCCAAAGCTTGGCATAGCACAGAACACAAAGTCGACGCTCAACAGAGATTTCCTGGACGCCCGTGTGCGTGTCCCACAGACCCCCACATCCGCTACATCCAAGGCCAAGTGCATTTTTTAATATCCAGTAGTCACGGACGGTTCTATTTTTTTTATTTTTTTAAATGTTTAATGTTTATTTACTTTTGAGAGACAGAACGCAAGCAGGGGAGGGGCAGAGAGAGGGAGACACGGAATCCGAAGCAGTTCCAGGCTCCGAGCTGCCAGCACAGAGCCCGACGTGGGGCTCGAACCCACGAACCGTGAGATCATGACCTGAGCCTAAGTCGGACGCTTACCCGACTGAGCTGCCCAGGCGCCCCAGGGTGCATTTCCCCCCAGGAGGTGTCCCTGCCCCGCAGTCTCCAGGGTGGCTACACTGACCCACCCCCAGCCCCAAGCCAGACACCAGGCCCCTTTGATGCTGACATGACCCAGCTGCCAAACGGCTCAGAGTCAACATGGTAATTTGTTACAAGATGAACACTTGGCCCATTTTCCTAACAAAGCTTTACAATTTCTGCTTTATAAACAGAATGTTTTAGTGCATTAATAAAACGCTGGATAATAAATGGCAAAGGGGCGCCTGGGTGGCTCAGTCTGTTAAGCATCCAAATCTTGATCTCAGCTCAGGTCTGATCTTATGTCGTGAGTTCAAGCCCCGCATTGGGCTCCATGCTGGGCATGAAGCTCACTTAAGATAAATAAATAAATAGGGGCACCTGGGTGGCTCAGTCGGGTAAGCGTCCGACTTCGGCTCAGGTCATGATCTCGCGGTTTGTGGGGTTAAGCCCCGCGTGGGGCTCTGTGCTGACAGCTTGGAGCCTGGAGCCTGCTTCGGATTCTGTGTCTCCCTCTCTACTCCTCTCCTGCTCACGAGCTCTCTCTCTCTCTCTCTCTCTCAGAAATAAACATTAAATTTTTTCAAATAAATTAAAAAAATTAACAAATGAATGAACATATAGCCATTTTTACACTTTTCTAATTGTGAGGTTAAATGCCTGCCAGCGAGGCAGGAAGAAGGAAAAGGTGATGGGCCAAGACTTTCCCCAGAGCCCAAAGCCCCAGAGACTGGGGTGGCCTCGTCTCGGGGGAGGGCAGAAGGCGGGACGTCCAGGTCCAAGACTCCTTAATCTTTGCTTCAAGCTCCACGGGACCTGCCCCAGCCCCTTGTCACTGCGCCCCTGGAGCCTCGCCCAGGAAGGGTGGCCCTGGGGGGGGGGGGTCAAGCCCGCTCCCCAGCTGCATGAAGCTGCCTCTGACGGTTCCTACCTGGAGCCCAGAAGCCCAGGAGCCGGGGCTACAAACGGAAGGTGAAGGTGAAGTCCAGACAGCCAGCTTCCGAGGGGTGGGGGCCGCGGGGAAAGAGACGCTGGTCTGCAGGGAGGAGCAGAGCACAAGCAGAATGATCTTTTGACAAAGAGGAACTCAGTGAGTCTCCTCTCAAGATCTAGAAAAAAGGAGAACAAATATGGTGAGCCGCCTCGCCCCGCCCACCGCTGTCAAGAGGCCGGGTGGGTGTGGGGGGAGCGTCAGAATTCGAACCAGGTTTGTTCTAGGTTGATCACTAAGGTGACCTCACTACTCAGTCCATTTTGCATCTCTGCTTTAAAGGAAAAGAATCTAAAAGTTGTCTCTTGGGGCACCTGGGTGGCCCAGTCAGTTAAGCGTCCGACTTGAGCTCAGGTCACGATCTCGTGGTTTGTGGGTCCGAGTCCCGCGTCGGGCTCTGTGCTGACAGCTCGGAACCCAGAGCCTGCTTCCAATTCTGCGTCTCCCTCTCTGCCCCTCCCCTGCTCGCCCTCTGTCTCTCTCCCTCTCAAAAGTAAATATTAAAAATGTTTTAAGTTATCTCTTAACAATATTCATTAATAGCGACAACCCTAGTGCAAGCACAGCACCGTTTCTTTGCAATAAAATTTGTTCTGGAAGACTCAAACTCCACATCCCCGAAAGCTGTTCCTGAGAGGACTGGCTTTATTGGGGTGGAGACGGCGGTGGTCACATGTCTATCGTTTCACGGGACGCTCTGCCTTCATTCCTCTACCTGCTTGACACAAACTTAAGATCTGGTTCAGGCTTCAAATATCTGAGCCCCTTTCCTGGCCCAGGCACCGGGGAGCACAGGAAGCTGGTGAGGGTTTCTCTTCCGAGTATAAACACCACCCCCCAAACACACACACACTCTATGTCCTTCGGACACGTGCCCTTTAGGGACGGCTTCATCATCCCCGCAGCCCAGCCCCTGGGCCAGGGTCAGCACCTGGGCAATAGTCACTCAAGTCTAACAGTCTAAAGTGAAGTCAGAGGAGGACTTGGGTGCTTCAGTCGTGCGACTTCAACTCAGGTCATAAGAGTTCGTGAGTTCGTTGGGGCGCCTGGGTGGCTTAGTCGGTTGGGCGTCCGACTTTAGCTCAGGTCATGATCTCGCGGTTCGTGGGTTCGAGCCCCGCGTCGGGCTCTGTGCTGACTGCCAGCTCGGAGCCTGGAGCCTGTTTCAGAGTCTGTGTCTCCCTCTCTCTCTGACCCTCCCCTGCTCACGCTGTCTCTCTCTCTCTCCTAGAAAAAAAAAAAAAAGAGTTCATGAGTTCGAGCCCTGCACCAGGCTCTCTGCTGTTGGCACAGAGCCTGCTTCCGGACCCTCTGTTCCCCTCCCCTCTCCCGCTCAAAAACATTAAAAAAAAAGTTAATAACAAAAAAAAGACAAAAAATAAATGAAGTCAAGACAGAGACTGAGAATTATCTCCCTTTCCTGCCTGCGGGTCCCACCCTTTATGATCGGTTGTTGAGGGTGGGCTGGGGGGGGGGTGGCATCACGGTTTGTGCTTCGGTACACAAATAGGTGTTTTTCTTTTTTAATGTGTATTTAGTTTTGAGGTAGCACAAGCTGGGGAGGGGCAGAGAGAGGGAGGCACAGAATCAGAAGCCGCTCCAGGCTCCAGGCTGTCAGCACAGAGCCTGATGAGGGGCTCGAACTCACGAACTCACGAGACCATGACCTGAGCAGAAGTCAGACGCTCAACCGACTGAGCCACCCTGGTGCCGGAGGGTTTTTTCCCCCGTTCCCTCCGCCTCGTATTAAATCTTATGATGGACACCTTCCTACCATACCTGATATTGTTTTGACCAGACACGTTTTGTGTACAGTTACTCTGAGCTATAATAACAAGGAAAGACAGGATTTTCTTTTCATGTCTCTTACCCCAACTGAAAAAAACGACAAGCTTATCACTCCCGGGGGGGCCTGGCCGGCTCAGTACGCGGAGAGACTCTTGATCTCAGGGTCCTGAGTTCAAGCCCCATTTAAGCACAGAGATTAATTTAAAAAAAAAACAACACCTCACAATTCGCATTCCAGACAATGTTGACGAAGCCTTAAAAGGGGGGAAACAGAGCCTTTCCGATGAAGTCAATTCTCCTTTTACCTTGTGTTTGTGAGTCGACCTCTCTAAAGCCCCGGGGCTCGTGTCAGAATCCATCGGGTCACAAATTTCTACAGTGAAAATGAGAACAGCCGTTCACACGGAAGGAATTCACGGAAAAGCTGGAGCACAGGACCCCGGGGTTTTATTTATTTTAAATCAGGTTGCCCTGGAGGAAACCACGAGTTAAAATAATATTCTGGAGAAACACGCTGTAGCTTTGCAGAGAACCACAGGGTAATTCCCAGGTGTCCTAGAACTTTCCTGCGGGTTTGAAGGGGGAGGGGAAGGTGTCCAAGCTTCTCAACCACAAGCGGTTTCATGTCTGAGGGCAAAGCAGGGTCAACCTGGGGGCCACCCTCCCACCCTGACCCTGACCCTGGGCAGAGATGGCCCAGCACCCAGCACCCCCACCCCTCCCCACACAGAGGCACCCCTTTTTTTTTCTTTAATGTTTTAATTATTTCTGAGAGAGAGAAAGAGAGCGCGGGTGAGCAGGGGAGGGTCAGAGAGAGAGGGAGACACAGAATCCGAAACAGGCTCCAGGCTCCGAGCTGTCAGCACAGAGCCTGACGCGGGGCTCGAACCCACGAACCTGAGATCATGACCTGAACCTGAGATCATGACCTGAGCCTAAGTCGGACGCTTAACCGACGGAGCCCCCAGGCGCCCCTGGAGGCACCCCTTCTTAACCCCTCGCACTTCATACCTGGGGGGCAATGGAGGACCCCACCCCCACCCCACCTCGGCCTTGACCACACACCTTGCCCTCCCTGGAAGACTGGATGTCCCTCCACAAGGGGGAAAAGGGGGAGTCTCCAAGGCAAGGACCCCAGACCCATTCGGTGGGGGCCGGCAGCCGCAGGGACAGGCGCCGGCGGGGGGCGGGGCGGGGGGCGGGGCAGCAGCCCGGACGCCGCGAGGAGCCGGCCCCGGGGCGGGGCGTGGTGCCCGGGTTGGCCCGGGTGATCCCCGGCTCACCTTCTGAATGGCTTGTCCATTTCGGTCCCAGTGGTCACCGCCGGGCCCCGAAGGGATGGGGGGCGAGGGGTCTGCGGCCGGACCTGTGTGACGTCACAGCCACCTCCGCGGCGACGGGCGAGCGCCCCTCCCTCCCGGCTCAGGCCCCTGCGCCCCGCACCCCTGCGCCCCAGCTCCCTCGCCACCAGGGAAGCCCTCCTAAGGACCTCATTTTGTCACGAAACCTTGAGCGACTCCCCTGTGCCCCGGGATGACCTCCAAGCCTCTGAACGCGCCCACCCGCCGCCCCCTCCGGCAGTACCCGAGGACTGCTCGCGCCCCAGGGCTGCAGCCGCTTCCAATCTCCTTCCAGATTCAGGGTGGCCCGAGCCCCTCCCCTCCCAACCACTCACCGCTCGGACTTCACCCCTCCCCCATCTCTGGCTTCTTAAACCTTCGGAGCTGAGTTTGGCGCCTCCTCCAGGAAGCCTTCCTGGACCTCGAAGTATTGGTTACAGGCTCCTCCTCTGCGTTCCCACCGCCGGCCAGATCAGCCTGTGTGGAAGTTGCCCATGGATTTCTACTGGCCCAGGAGTCCATGGTCCTAAGGGTTCCAATCCCAAGTTCCCTTCCCCGCCTCACCCATCCCCCAGGGGGCATGGCACAGTAACTGCTCAAACATAAATTTTGAATGAATGACAGGAATTGGCGAATTGTATATGCCACAAGTCATGTCAGCTGTGAACTCACTACTTTATTTAGTACCTTTTTAAAAATTTTTTATGTTTGTGTATTTATTTTGAGAGAGAGAGAATACACGGACATAAGTGGAGGAGGGGCAGAGAGAGAGGGAGAGAGAGTCCTAAAACAGGCTCTGCTCGCTCTGCACAGAGCCCTAAATGGGCGCCGACCCACAAACTGAGATCATGACCTGAGCAGAGATCAAGAGTCAGACACAACCAAGCCAGCCGCCCAGGTGCTCCTCTTTAGGAATTTTTGAAGTCAGGAAGCATGAATCTTCCAACTTTGTCCTTTTTCAAGATCATTTCAAGACTCTTCTGGGTACCTTGCATTTCCACGTGAATTATAGGACCTGCTTGTCAATTTCTGCAAAACTGCCAGCTGGGATTTTAAAATTTTAAATTATTTTAATTTTATTTTATTTTAGAGAGAGCACACGTGCAAGCAGGGGAGAGGGACAGAGGGAGAGAGAGAATCTTCAGCGCTCCTCCCTCAGCCTAGAGCCTGACTCAGGGCTGGATCTCATGACCCTGGGATCATGACCTGAGCCGAAATCAAGTGAGATGGACGCTCAACTGACGGAACTAGTCAGGCGGCAACCCCACCCCCACCCCCACCCCCGCCCCTGCCCAAGCCAGCTGGGATTTTGGAAAAGGACTGTGTTGAATCTGTAGGTCAATTTGAGTAGTATTGCAATTTAACAATATTATGTCAGATGCTCAACATCACTAATCATCAGGGAAATGCAAATCAAACCACAATGATAGGGGCACCTGGGTGGCTCACTCATTTAAGCCTCAAATTTCAGCTCTGGTCATTATCTCCTGGTTCATGGGTTGCAGCCCCACGTCGGGCTCTGTGCTGACAGCTCAGAGCCTGAAGCTGCTTCAGATTCTCTGTCTCCCTCTCTTTCTGCCCCTCCCCTGCTTGTGCTCTGTCTCAGTCTCTCTCTCTCTCTCTCTCTCTCTCTGTCTCTCTCTCAAAAATCAATAAATCTTAAAAAAAAAAAAGTTAAAGGGGTGCCTGGGTGGCTGAGTCAGTTAAGCATCAGACCTTGGTTTTGGGCTCAGGTCATGATCTCATGGTTGGTGGGTTCAAGCCCTTTGTTGGGCTCTGTACTGACAGTGAGGAGCCTGCTTGGGATTCAGTCTCTTTCCCTCTCTCTGACTCTCCCCTGCTCACATCTCTGCCTCTCTCAAAATAAATAACTTAAAACCTTAAAAACAATTTTTTATTAAAAAAAAAATCACAAGGGACAGTTGGGTGGCTCAGTCGGTTAAGCGTCCGACTTCAGCTCAGGTCATGATCTCACGGCTGGTGGGTTTGAGTCATGCGTCGGGCTCTGTGCTGACAGCTCAGAGCCTGGAGCCTGTTTCCGATTCTGTGTCTCCCTCTCTCTCTGACTCTCCCCTGCTCAAGCAGTCTCTGTCTCTCTCTCAGAAATAAAAACATTAAAAAAAAATAACAAAAAAAACCCCACAAAGACATATCACCTTACATGTGTCAGAATGGCTAGTATCAAAAAGACAAGAAATAACAAGTTTGGGCAAGGAGGTGGAGAAGAAGGAGCCTTCGTGCACTGTTGGTGGGAATGCAGCCTGGTGAGGCCACTACGCAGGTTCCCCAAAAAGTTAAAAATAGAATTACCATATGATCCAGTAATTCTACTACTGGGTATTTACCCAAAGGAAACAAAAACACTAATTCAAAAAGATACATGCACTCCTGTGTTTACTGCAGCACTATTTACAATAGCCAAGATATAGAAGCAACCCAAGTGTCTATCAATAGCTAGATACATATAGATATCTATAGATCTATATGTATCTATAGATCTATACTCAGCCATAAAAAAGAGTGAGATCTTGCCATTTATGACAATATGGATGGGCCTAGAGGATATTATGCTAAGTGAAATAACTCAAATAGAGAAAGACAAATACCATATGATTTCACTTATATATAGAATCTAAAAAATAAAACAAATGAAAATAAAAAGCAGAAATAGACCCATAAATACAGAAAACAAACTGATATTTGCCAGAGGGGAGAGGGATAGAGGGATAGGCAATGGGGGAAGGGGAATGAGAGGCACAGGCTTCCATTAGGGAATGAATAAGCCAAGGGGACAAAATGTACAGCACAGGGAATCTAGTCAGTGGTATTGAGTAGTGTTGCATGGTGACAGGCAGCAGCTACACTTGCCGTGAGCACAGGACAATGTGTAGGCTTGTCACATCGCCATGTGGTACACTGGAAATTAATGCAACACTGTGCCAGCTATACTTAAATAAAATACAGACAAACACACACACAGTATTATCACTTCCAATCCATGAACATAGGATACCTTTTCATTTATTAGATCTTATTTCATTTCTTTCAACAATGTTTTATAGCTTTCGTGGGCAAATCTTGCGGGGTTATTTGTTAAATTTATTGCTAAGTATTTTATTCTTTTTGATGCTATTGTAAATGGAGCTGTTTCCTTTTTTTAATTTTTAACATTTATTTTTGAGAGACAGAGAGAGACAGAGCGTGAGCAGGGGAGGGTCAGAGAGAGAGAGAGACACAGAATCCGAAGCAGGCTTCAGGCTCTGAGCTGTCAGCACAGAGCCCGACACGGGGCTCAAACCCACGAACTGAGATCATGACCTGAGCCAAAATAGGACGCTTCACCGGCTGAGCCCCCCATGCTCCCCCAATGGAGCTGTTTCTTATTTTTATTTTTGGTGTGTTCATTGTTAGTATATAGAAATACAATCAATTTTTGTATATTGATCTTTTATCCTAAGACCTTGCTGAACTGATTGTTCTAATAATGGTGTGTGTGTGCGTGTGTGTGTGTATGTTCATTCTCCTTTGGGTTTTCTACATGCAAGATTATGTTATTTGCAAATAGAGATAATTTTTACTCCTTCCTGTCCAATCAGGATTCTTTTTATTTTTTTATTTTGACTAACTGTGCTGACTCAAACCTCCAGCACAGTGTTGATTAGAAGTGGTGGGAATGAGCTTCCTGTCTTCTTTTTAATTGTGCATTTAATTGTAGACCAAATAGCCTGAGTATGTTTGAGTTATAAAAGTATGTTAGGGAAAAGATGAAATACTCACAGATTAAATGACATGATGAGGGAAACAAAAGGAAAAATGAACAGTAGGACCTCATCAAGATCAAAAGCTTCTGCACAGTGAAGGAAACTATCAACTATAAGGCAACTGATGGAACGGGAGAAGATATTAGGTTAGTATCCAAAATCTATAAAGAACTTATCAAACTCAACACCCAGAACACAATCCAGTGAAGACATGGGCCAATGACATGAACAGACACTGTTCCAAGGAAGACTTCCACATGGCCAACCAACACCTTAAAAGATACTCAACATCACTCATCATCAGGGAAATACAAATCAAACCGCAATGAGATACCACCTCACACCTGTCAGGGTGGCTACAACTCAGGCAACAACAGAAGTTGGCGAGGATGCAGGGAAAGGGGGACATTTCTGCGCTGTTGGTGGGAATTTAAACTGGTGCAGCTGCTTTGGAGAACAGTATGGAGGTTCCACCAAAAATTAAAAATAGAGCTACCCTACGACCCAGCAATTGCACTACTAGGTATTTATCCAAAGGACACAAAAATGCCTATTTGAAGGGGCATACTTATGAAGAATTGGAAGGTTCATAAACTATGTACCCCATAGTTTAAAGCACCACGATCAACAATAGCCAAATTATGGAAAGAGTCCAAATGTCCATTGACTGATGAATGGATAGAGAGGATGTGGTACATATATAAGCGGTGGAATATTACTCAGTGATCAAAAAGAATGAAATCTTGACATTTGCAACGATGTGGATGGAATTAGAATGTACTATGCTAAGCGAAATAAATCAGTCAGAGAAAAACAAATATATGATTTCACTCGTGTGGAATTTAAGAAACAAAACCAGATAAACATGGGGGAAGAGAAGGAAAAATAAGATAAAGAGAGAGAGGGAGGCAAACCATAAGAGACTCTCAAATACAGAGAACAAACTGAGGGTTGCTGGGGGCTGCTGGGTGGGGGGAGGGGCTAAACGGGCGATGGGTATTAAGGAGGGCACTTGTTGGGACGAGCACTGGGTGTTATACGTAAGTGATGAATCACTAAATTCTACTCCTAAAACCATTATTACACTATATGCTAACTAACTAGAATTTAAATACAAAGAAAAAAATGATATGATGCTGGGGCGCCTGGGTGGCTTAGTCGGTTGAGCGTCCGACTTTCGCTTAGGTCATGATCTCGCGGTTCGTGGGTTCGAGCCCCGCGTCGGGCTCTGTGCTGACTGCCAGCTCGGAGCC